ATGAACTGCCAGAGGAAGTGATGGATGTGGGTACAGTTACAATGTTTAAAAGACATTTGGATACATATATGAATAAGAAATGTTTGGAGGGAAATGGGCCTAGCGCAGGCAGGTGGGACTAGTTTAGTTTGGGATTATGATTGGCATGGACTGGTTGGGCTGAGGGGTCTGTTCCTATGACGTATGACTCTGTGACTCTGTGACTCTATGATAGTCTTCCAGTCACTGTTACCGAATCTAGCTTTTAGTCTTAGCTGTAATAATTGAATATAAAATTCCATTGGCTGCCATGGTGGGATTCTCTAAAGGACGTTAAATGAAGCAGATAGGTTTTTACAACAATTGATGATGTTTGTCAATACTGAGAATATCCAGAATTAATCATGGAATTCAAATTGTGTCAAGTGCCATGCTTGTGGTAGGATTCAAGCTCAAGTTTCCTAGGCCGCTGGCTCCAGGCCATTACATCATCATCTCCCCACCATCTCAAATGGATTCTTCTTCCACCTCTGATTCTTGGAGAGATTTCCATGAGCTAATGACCCTCTTTCTGTGTATATCTCCATTGAAGAAGCCAAGGGTCACTTAGTCAGTGCACTGATGGAGCAGAAATCATAAAATCCCTACAGTGTGGAAGCAGGCTATTCGGCCCTAAGCCCACACTGGCCCTTCAAAGAGCATCCCACACAAACTCATCCCCCTACTCTATCCCTGTAACCCTGCATTTCCCATGGCCAATCCATCTAGCCTACTCATCCCTGGACACTATGGGCAATTTAGCATGGCCAATCCACCCTAAGCTTTGGACTGTGGAAGGAAAACATAGCACCCCGAGGAAATGTGAAAACTCCACACAGACAGTTGCCCAAGGGTGGAATTGAACCCGGGTCTCTGACACTGTGAGGCAGCAATGCTAACCACTAAGCCACCGTGCCACCTCTAGCTTGCAAGGGGTGGGGGTGGTGGGCACTAGCTTGGGGTCAGGAAGGGGCTGGAGGGGGAGAGGAGCCAGAGGGTGGGAAGGGGCAAGTGTTTGCACTGTCAAGAGCATTACCATCGTGTGATTGAGAGTTTGAACATCCAGATAGGGGACAGCTGCAGACTCAAAACAAATTTGAGTAGACAACTGCAGTGAAAACGAAGCCTCTGTGTGTGTGTCCTTGGGCGCTAAATTTAGTTCCTGTATCTCCAGTATTTACATTTTAAAGCTCTTGATCTGACAGCAAAAAATGCCAAACAATCAGCATAACATCCCCCCTGGAACCTTGGAGACTGGGGGGTTCCAATATTACATGGCTGTTACAGCTCTGTTACTAACTAGACTGGACTGACATAACTACTTCAGGCTACACAAAACACGAGTGGTGTTCGAGCCCTCGAACGTTTTCACAACATGTTGCATAACAGATAGAGATGAGCAAGTACCAGAGGGTAGTGAATAAATCTCACTTATGCAATGAGATTTCTTGATATTGCTTTCAGACTTTCCAATGGACCTAATCCAAGAATTCCTGATACCTCCCTGGCTGATCCCTCTCATCAGCTCGGATTCCTGGCTATTCCTGTGCGACGTCACATCAAACCCCTGGCTATGGAGAGCACTGACGATGGGACTGTTTGTCATGTGAGTGTGGCCCCCACGGACCCCCTGCAAGTTCTAGCGTTCACTGCTGCACATGTTTTTAATGTTCATCTGTCCGATTCAATCTTTCCTTTACAACGTCGCCTTATCTTTCATCCTCTCCCTTTGCACCGCGCAAGAGAATCCACTTCTGCCCAGTGTGGGGACTTTGCCTCAGAGGGTCAAAGATTAAGTGTTAGGTCGTGTTGTAGAACAGAGGGCCCTAAGGGTTCAGGTACTTAATTCTTTGAAGTTTGCGTCCCATATAGACAAGGTGGTTAAGAAGGCATTTAGTATGCTTGCCTTCATTGCTCAGACATTTGTGAATAGGAGCTGGGAAGACGAGTTGAGGATGTACAGGACATTGGTGAGGCCTCTGCCCTGTTATAGGAAGGATAGTATTAAGCTGGAGAGGGCTCAGAAGACATTTACCAGCATATTGCCAGGTATAGAACGTTTGAGTTATAAGAAAGGCTGGACAGGCTGGACTTTTCTTACTGGAGCGTAGGAGGCTGAGAGGCGACCTGATAGAAGTTTGTAAAATAATGAGGTATAGTTAGAGTTAATGGTAGTTGTCTTTTCCCTAGGATGGGGGATTTCAAGACTGGAGGTGAGACGAGAGAGATTTGAAAAAGGCACGAGGGGCAATTTTTTTACACAGAGTGTGGCTCGTGTGTGGAATGAACTTCCAGAGGAAGTGGTGGGTGTGGGTACAATTACAATGTTTAAAAGACATTTGGATAAGTACATGAAAAGGAAAGGTTCAGAGGGATATGGGCCAGGAGTAGGTAGGTGGGACTAGTTTAGTTTGGGATTATGTTCAGCACAGACAAGTTGGATTGAAGGGTCTGTTTCCGTGCTGCATGACTATGGTTGGATGAGGGCATTGGTGTTAAAGTTGGTCTGGTACACATCTGAATACTTTTTAATGTAGGTAACCATGGAGAAAGAAATTACCTTTATTTATGACCAGAAAAGCTGGTTTCTCTCCTGGCTTGTGTCCTTATTCCCTACACGGCCTTGTCCCTCACTGTCAAGCAAAGATGTGCTAGACTCTTTTCCTAGATACATGGGGCAAAGGTTTAAGGTGAGAGGGGTGAAATACGAAAGGGTCTGCGGACAATTTTTTCACATAGAGGCTGGTGAGTGTCTGGAATGGGCTGCCAGAGGTAGTGGTCAATTTTGTCATTGAAGTAACATTTAGACAAGAACATGGATGGGATAGGTATGGAGGGATGCAGACCAAACGCAAGCAAATGGGACTGGTTTAATTGTGAAAACTGGGCAGCATGGACAGGTTGGGCTGAAGGGCCTGTTTCCATGCTGTAAACATCCATGACTATGACAAATATACGAATTAGAATCTGGAATAGGCCACTCAGCCCGTCAAGCCCTGCCCGGCCATTCTATATGATCATGGCTGATTTGATTACTCCATATTCCTGTGTAACCTTCTATGCTCCTGTTGGCCAAGAATCAATCCAGCTCTGCCTTAAGAACATGCAAAGAATCAGTTTCTGCTGCCCTTTGACAGCAAGTCCCAAAGACTCACTCTTCATTGATCTCCTGATGCACTGATTCCTAATTTTGCAACTTCTCCTCACATCAATCTCAGAGTCAGCATCTCATGTGCTCTTCCCGTTTTCTTGATATTGCCCATATTACCGCTCTATATGTTAAACCCAGTCACACCATGGATCTCTAAGATTCTTCTTTTCCATTACATATCGCTCCCCGCCTCTGTCTTTCAGACGGAATCCTAGAACTAGAATCCCTACAGTGAGGAAGCAGGCCATTCAGCCCATCAGGTCCACACCAACTCACCCAATCCCTGCAACCCAGCATTTCCCATGGCCAATCCACCTACCCTGTACATCCCTAGACACTGGGGGCAATTTAGCATGACCAATTCACCCTAACCTGCATATCTTTTGACTGTGGAAGGAAACCCACGTAGACTTGGGGAGAACGTACAAACCCTACACAGGCAGTTGCCCGAGGCTAGGATTGAAGCTGGGTCCCTGGCGCTATGAAGCAGCAGTGCTAACCACTGAACCACCGTAATCCACTCAAAGAGTATTGCACTCAATAAAGTCAATTCTTCCACAGAACATGACGATGTTATCAAGTCTCTCCCACTCACCACCTTCTCGGGTAGGTTCCCAAACCATATTTGCTCATTGTAGCATCTGAATCATTTTTACATTTTGAAGGCAGTACCTGATAGGAGGTGGACAAAGGTTCATAAGTAGCTTCTGGAAGGGGATTGAAAGCCTGAAGGAGAGATTTTTTCAGGGATAAGTGGAAACGGTGGGGGAGTGAGTAACTGGACAAAGGGGCTAGTATTACCTGATGGACCAAACGGCCTCCTACAACGCCATGCTGATGTAATGATTCTGTTTGATTTGGTTTCAGATATGCTACATGGCCATACAGTACGTTTAAGGAGCTGTGTATTCCTGGACTGCCTCCAAGGCTATTCCTTGGTTCGATTCCATCCTTATACCGAAAGGTGAGGGCTTAGACAAAAGGGAATGAGTCCTGAATGTATACAGGACCATATCTGGGACATTCAGCCTGTTGATTCCAATCTGATCTATCCAAGGGGACAATACTTTGAGAGTGCACCACTTTTGTCACTTACACTGGAGGTGTCGCAGTGAGTACTTGGAAAATCCCGGAGGAAGTTGAAGGATGTCAAAGTTGGTATTTAAAATAGAGAGAGGAATATTGCACCCAAGTGTCAACACCATCATAAAGCTATTGTGAATTTGGGAAAATGTCTTTCTCCCCAACTCATATGTAAGGGACATATTGGTTTACTAGTCCATGGGTTAGTAATACAAAAAAAACCCTCTAAGGTGATGTTCTGAGGCTATTGGTTCAAGACCCACCATGGAAGGTGGTTGGAAGAGCTCCACAGAGGCTGGTATCCTGTCAGCAAGTCACCCCTTATTTATACATGGAGGGTCCTTGACACTGATCCAGCTCCCTCGGAGCCAGCTTTCAGAGTGAACATAACCCCTGACATTCCTGTTTATATCTGTCAGCCAGGGCTCCCTGATTGGACCAGATTAATAGCCTCAATAAGGGAACTCATATTCTGTGGATCCACCTGGCTGACTTCGTTACAATCACCACATCCCTCCCCCCTGGAGTCTGAGGATATAGGCTGGTTCTTTTTTTTTAATAGCTCCTCCGGCAGTGTTTTAGCACCAGATCAGGTTCCTCTAACTCTGCTTTGGACACAGGTGGAGTGTAACACATACAGTAGGTCACCTCTTGTGCTCGGAGCATCTCGGAAGAAACTCATTCCCTTCTTCAGGCGCAAAAAGGTGTCAAAGCAGCGACATGCGCCACGTCCATCACAGCTTCCGAGATGTCTTCAACTCTCAGTGGAGAAGGAGAATCCACTGGTTCTGGAGCAGTTGGAAAGGCTGTCGAGGAACTGGGCACCTTTTGTCCCCGCACCGTTTGCGAAGTTGCAGCTTTCATGTGGTCCACATGCTTGTTGAGGACTGGCGCACCTACCTGGACTTTATACATCACTGGACCTGACCTCACATCAACCATGCCTCTTACCCATGCAGGGCCATTCCTGTGGTTCCTACACCAAACTTCATCTCCTGAAGTAAACTGTCTTTCTCGCTTAGTCTTAGACTTAGACTGTAGTCTTGTGTCTGGCGTTGTTCCTGATGCTGTTTCATCCTTCCCCCCTCTCCAGGTCTGGGAAGATCAGATTTAACCGGGTGCGGCGTATTCCCCCCATTAGTAACTCTGCAGCGCTATCCCTGTAGTTGCGTGAAGGGTGTTCCAATAGTCAAATAGGAACCGGGACAGTTTGGTATCTAGTGAAGCTGTAGGCTGTTTCTTTAAAGTTTGGACAGCTCTTTCTGCCAGACCATTGGATGATGGATGGTATGAAGCTGTCGTTATCTGTTGAAAACCATTCAACTTTAGGAAATATTCAAATTCGCTGCTGGTAAACAATGGCCCGTTATCTGTGATTGACACTTCCGGGAGTCTGTGTATTGCAAAAGGTGCGCGCAGTTTATCGATCGTCATCCACACGTTTGACAAATGAACTCCGTGCACGTCCAGCCACTTTAAGTTGGCGTCTAAAATGACTAAGAACGTTGATTCCATGAAAGGACTGGTGTAGTCGACGTGTAACTGAGTCTGGGGTTTACCCGGCCGTTCCTGTGAATATGGGAGCACTGCTGGCAGTAATTTCTGTCCTTGTTGGCACTCTGGGCACTGCCCCACCAATACAACTAAGTCTGCACCCTGGCTGCCTGACATAACTTCGCGCCAACGTCTTCTTACTGGTTGACCCCGGTGGACTTCAGCCAGTATCTGGCATTGACCTTTGCCCGAGACAATCACTTGCTCCCCACAATAACATGCTGTCCTCTACTGACTCAGAAATATATCGCTGGGTCCAAAAAAGGTTTCCATTCTGGTTGTGACAGTCCTGTAGCTTCCCCCATCACCAACGACTGTTTCAGTTTTGCCAGAAGTGGCTCTTTCTGAGTCCAAAGTCTGAAATTGTCAGCTGTAACTGGAAATTTCAAACCATTATAGACTCTTCCAGTGGTGGTACCACCTGGTGGTGTATCTGCCAGTGGGAGGCAGCGCAATGCATTCGCGTTTGTTACTTGTCTTCCTGGGCTGTGTTCCAACTTGTAATTGTACACACTTGTTAGTAGAGCCTGCCGCTGAATTCGACCTGAAGCTATAGGCCTTGTCCTGTTTAAGTAGACCTATCATGGGCTTGTGGTCTGTTATTATTACAAATTTACACCCATAAAGGTATTGGTGGAACTTCCTGACTCTAAATATAACCACCAAACCTTCCGTCTGTATCTGGGAGTGTTTACACTCTGCGTTAGCCAAAGTCCTGGATGCATTTACTGTTGGGCATTCGTCTCCATCAGGCCACCTATGAGCTAATATTATCCTGATAGCTACAGGGAGGAATCACATGTCAGATCTTGCTTGCGATCATAGTTTACCAACACCTTAGAGGATGATAGCTATTTCTTCACTTCCTGGATAGCTATGGCTTGGCTACGTGACCATTTCCAAGGCTGACCTTTTTTTTAAGGGTTGATGGAAAGGATGCTAGGATGGAGGCCAGGTTACATATGAATTTTCTGTAATAATGCACCAGCCCAAGGAAAGACCTCCCAGACAGACAGGAGAGCTGGGGCACCTTTGATCACCCTCACTTTATCTTTCAATGGGGTAACTTGGCCTTGACGAGGCTGGCGTCATGTTTACTCTTGGCTCCTGACACAGAGCCCGGTGCCATTCTCAGGTCAAAGCTACAACATCCGTGCACTAGGCCTTAGGCTTCAAGATGAGTGTCTCTAACTGTTCCTGTGTGCTCTGTAACCTCATTTCCTTTTCTCATCTGTAGGATCTTCATATTGTAGATATGGAATGTTACAACACCTTTGGCAATATCTGGGGGTAAGACAAGTTATATTTATTTGAAACTTTTTTTAAAGGAGGAGGAATTATTTGAAGTACACGGGACTGTAACCATAGAATCATAGAGTCACACAGCATGGAAACTAGGCCTTTGGTCCAACTCGGCCTAGCTGACCAGGTTTCCAAAACTAAACTAGTCTCATTTGCCTGCGTTTGACCCATATCCCTCTAAACCTTTCTGATCAAGTCCTAGGGATTTACCTACCTTATATGTTTTAAGACCTCCAGGAACTCCTGTTTTTAAGACATCACTATTTATTTCCCCAAATTCCAAGCTTCGATGTCTTTCCCTACAATAAATACTGATGCAAAATATTTATTTAGTATCTCACCCATACATAATCAATCTCATTGATTTTAAAGGGACTGTATTCTCTCCCTAGTTGCCCTTTTGTCCTTAATGTATTTATAGAATCTCTTTTAATTCTCTTTAGCCTTATCTGCCAAAGCTATCTCATATCTGTTTTTTCCCTTTGTGCCGGTACACATTATTGACATTTGGGGAATCCGTGTTTGAATTGAGAGCAAGCTTGGTGAAAGAGAGTCCAACAGTTGCGTAACCCAGTTGGTTATAGAGGGCAATGCTGGAGGTACCCTCTCTCAAAACCGGGAGCCTTGGACCTAGGCCCCTGCTGCATCATGGGTGTTTTGCCAGTCTTCGGTTCGGGAGCTCTGGGCCACAGGGTGGTTTGTGCTAGTCTGGATCGGGTGGGGTCAAGGGTCATTTGGAGCATGCAAAAGAGATAGCAAAGCTAGATGCAGCCAAATTGCCCAAATAAGCTAATTTTAATTGAATCAAAAAAAATATAAAATGAGTCCTGGCACATTCTAAACAAAATGTCATTTCTTTTGTTTGGGCAACTCCGTTTTTTTTAGACAGCTGGTTTGGTGGGAATGTACCCGTAAAAATGTCAAGATTTTCGGGTTTTTCTTTGCTCCACAGGGAGCTGGCATAGTCTAGATTAAACAAACGGCATTCTAACGGTTCTATGGGAACCAAGAGTTATACCAGTCGCAGAATGACGATAAATGCTTTGAACAGTCCAACTGCTCAATTGGAAACTCACAGATGTTGGAAAAGAGCAGATGTTCATAGAAAGAGGCTGTTCAGCCCATTGGGTCTACACTGACCCTTTGAAGAGCATCTCACCCAAACACTGCCTCCCACCCTATCCCAGTAACCCTGCATTTGATCCTGGCTAATCTACCTAGCTGGCACACTACAAGGCAATTTCCCATGGCCAATCCATCCTAACCTGCACATCTTCACACTGAGGGAAGAAACTGGAGCACACAGATGTAACCCACGCAGACATGGGGAGATTGTGCAAACTCCACACAGAGCAGGGTGGAATTGAATGTGGGTCCCTGGTGCTGTGAGACAGCAGTGCTAACCACTGAGCCACCGTGCTGCCCCAATTGGCCCTAAAATAATCAACAGTGGGTTAAAAGGTTTCTGGTGTAGATGGGAATGTAGAAACCAAAACTCAAATGGATCAGCCATGATCTTTTTGGATGTTGGAGCAATCTGAATGGGCCGAATGACCCATTCCTGCTCCTAATCTGTATGATCATAAACAGATAAAAGAAGGTCTGGTACCATCTCTGGAGGGAGAAACACAGTTACAATTTTGAGTCCGATTTGATATTTCAAAACCATTTGTTGACAGATACATGTGTCACTATTCTCCTGTGACAAGATTGGCTCAGTGTCTAGCTTCAGTTCAGTGTGTTGCAGATTCTCAACCCTATACCTCCGGGTGCTCCGGTTTCCTCCTACAATCCGAAAGTGTGCAGGTTAGATGGATTGGCCGTGCTAAATTGCCCGTAGTGTTCAGGGATGTGGAGATTAGGGGGATGGATCTGGGTGGGATGCTCTGAGTGTCGGTGTGGTCTTGTTGGGCAGAAGGGCCTGTTTCCACACTGTAGGGATTCTATGATTCTATACATAGCTCATTTGGCTGGATAGTTGGTTTGCCAAAGCAGTGAGATGCTAACAGTGTGGGTTCAATTCCTATCACTGGTTGAGGTACCTATAGGCAACTCTCCTCCTCAATCTCTCTCCTTTGCCTGAGGCATGGTGGCCCTCAGATGAAGTCACCACCACCTGTCTCTCTTTCTAATGAGAGAGCAACCCTATGGTCTGTTAAAACTATGACACTCGGGGAAAATAACTGAGTTATCATTTCTTTAGCAGAGCTTAACCGGCTTCTCAAAGTAATTTTATTAAGGCTCCTAGAGGTAGGATGAATTTATAATAGATTGGTTATTGAAATTCCTCGGATGCTGATCTCCTCAATAGTGTGTGAATGAATCCTATTGTTTAACAACACTCAATAACACAATGAGGTGGTTGTGGATCCTCCCAGTTCTCTGTTATCTCTCTGTAATCGTGCCAGTATTCTGTGTTGCTTCCTTCTCCCTCTCCACCATGTGTTTTAGACCATGTTTTCAAGAAACACAGATTCATAAAAGAGGACATTCAGCTCATTGTCCCTGTGCTGCCTCTTTGAAACAGCATTTATTTACAGGAACAAAAACAAAAGTTGCTGGAAAAGCTCAGCAGGTCTGGCAGCATCAGTGAAGAGAAAATCAGAGTTAACGTTTCACTTCCAATAACCTTTCCTCAGAGCAGGTAAGGCTGGGCAGCGCGGTGGCTCAGTGGTTAGCACTGCTGCCTCAGAGGGCCAGGGGCCTAGGTTCAGTTCCACTCTCAGACAACTGTCCTGTGTGGAGTTTGCACCTTCTCCCTGTGTCTGTGTGGGTTTCCTCCGGGTGCTCTGATTTCCTCCCACAGTCCAAAGATATATAGGCTAGGTGGATTGGCCATGCTAAATTATCCATAGTGTTGAGGGATGTGTAGATTAGGGAGGAGGGTCTGGGTGGGATGCTCTGAGAGTCAGTGTGGATTTGTTGGGCTGAAGGGCCTGTTTCCACACTGTAGGGATTCTGAAAAGCCACCAGACCTGCAATGTTAACTTTGATTTTTTTTTCTTCACTGGTGTTGCCAGACCTGCTGAGCTTTTCCAGCACATTCTGTCTTTGTTCCTGATTTACAGCATCCACAGTTCTTTCGGTTTTTATTCACAGGATGTGGGCGTCGCTGGCTGGACCAGCCTTTATCGTCCTGCCCCTAACTGCCCCTTTAAGAAGGTGGTGGAGAGCTGCCTTCTCAAACTGCTGCAGTTCACGTACTTTAGGTCAATCTACAATGCCCTTAGGGAGGGAATTCTAGGATTTGGACCCCACAACAGCGTAGGAACGGCAATATATTTCTGAGTCAGGATGGTGAGTGGCTCGGAGGGGAACTTGCAGGGGGTATTGTTCCCATGTGTCTGCTGCCCTTCTAGGTGGTGGCGAGGGGTAGCAATAGCTTATTGGTATCATTGCTGGACTGTTAATCTACAGGCGCAGGTAATGTTCTGGGGACTTGAGTTTGAATCCTGCCACTGCAGATGGTGGAAATTGAATTGAATAGAAGCCTGGAATTAAGAATCTAATAATGACCATGATATCGGTTGTTGGAAAAACCCCTCTGGCTCACTCATGCCCTTTTAGGGGAGGAAACTGCCATCCTTACCTGGTCTGGCCTACATGTGACTCCAGACCTGTATCAATGTTGTTGACACTTAACCACCCTCTAGGCAATTAGGATGGGCACTAAATGCTGGCACAGACAGCGATGGTCATATCCCATGAGTGGGAGGTGTTGGTGAAGGGTCTTGGAGATGACATTTGCTTCTGACACTATGCGTTGGTGGTGGATGGGTGAATGTTTGTGAAGGCGGTTCCAATCAAGCAGTCTGCTTTATCCTGGATGGTGTCGAGCTTCTTGAGTGTTGCTGGGGCTGCACCCATCAGGCAAATGGGGAGTATTCCATCACACTCCTGAGTTGTGCCTTGTAGATGGTGGGACAGGCTTTGGGGGCTCAGGAGGTGAGTTACACATGAATAACTCTAACATGGTCTTGTAGCCATTGTATTAATATGGCCGGTCCAGTTCGGTTTCTTATCAAATATATTTCAGAATTTTAATGTTACTATTGATTCTGCTTCCATCACCCTTTCCGGAAGTCCATCCCTGATCAATAATAACCGGCTGCAAATCAAAAACACCTTCCTTCAAGTTGTCCTTCCAATCTCCTTTAGCTGGGGCCCCCCAGCTATCGATCAGCAGAAATAATTCTGCCATATTTCCTCAAACTTAAATCCCTTTGTAATTCTGAGCACATCTGTTAAATCCCAATTAAATTTCTTTGTTGTAAAAACCCCATCATCGAACCTTGCCTAATGGATATCTAGCCCTTATTTTCACAATGGTTTAGCTTTCACTCATGTCTCCTCAAGAAACCAAGGGAATAGGTGGTCTGGCTAATCCCAGGGCTCTGCCAGTCAATACTTGGAAGCTTTCCAGACATTACAACACATCGGCATTACACTTTAAGGCAATTATTTTTAAGCTTGTGTTGCTCTTTTCTTCAATTGATCCATATTTTTGTCTTTGACACCAAACTGAAAAGCCTAGGTTGTACCTGGGCCGACAAGCATATCTACTACTCACGGACACCGAGATAATCCGCAAGGTGTTTGTTGAAGATCATTGCAAAATCTTTGCCAACACTAAAGTAAGTCAAAAACAAAGAACTACGGATTATGTGAATCAGAAACAAAATCAGAAATTGCTGGAGAAACTCAGCAGGTCTGGCAACATCTGTGGGGAGAAAGCAGAATTAACGTTTTGGGTCCAGTGACCCTTCTTCATGACTGTTCTGAAGTTTCATTTAATTCACTCATGGGACATGGGTGTTGCTGACTGGCCAGCATTTATTGCCCATCCCTAGTTGCCCCTTGAGAAGGTGGTGGTGAGGTTCCTTCTTGAACTGTGCAGTCCACCTGCTGTAGGTTGACCATAATGCCATTAGGGAGGAAATTCCAGGAGTTTGACCCAGCGACAGAGAAGGAACAGTGATATATTTCCAAGTCAGAATGGTGACTGGATCGGAGGGGAACTTGCTATTGGAGGTGTTCCCATGTATCTGCTGCCCTTGTCCTTCTAGATGGACGTGGTTGAGCATTTGGAAGGTGCTGTCTGAGGATCTTTAGTGAATTTCTGCAGTGCATCTTGTAGACGATACACACTGCTGCGACTGAGCATTGGTGGTGGAGGGAGTGGATGCTTGTGGATGTAATGCCAATCAAAAGCGGGCTGCTTTGTCCTGGATGGTGTTGAGCTTCTTGAGTGTTGTTGGAGTTGCCCCCATCCAGGCAAGTGGGGAGTATTCCATCCCACTCCTGACTTGTGCCTTGTAGATGGTGGACAGGCTTTGCAGGATCAGGAGGTGAGTTACTTATTCCCAGCCTCTGACCTGCTCTTGTAGCCACTGTGTTCACATGGCGAGTCCAGTTGTGTCTCTGGTCAATGGTAACCCCAAGAATGTTGATAGTGGGAAGATTCAGCGATGGTAACACCATTGAATGTCAAGGGCTGTGGTTAGATTGTCTATTATTGGAGATGGTCATTGCTTGGTGCTTGTGCGGCACGAATGTTACCAGTCACATGTCAGCCTAAGCCTGGATTCTGTCTGGATCTTGTTGCATTCAAGGTGCTCTGAAGTGAACTCTGCTAAAAGTTCTGCAGCAATTTCTGTTTTTGTTGCTAAAATAAGTTAATACTGTTGAGGTTTGTTGCGTTTTTTTCCTGTGCTATTTATTCATGGGGTACACTAGCTGAGACAGCATCGATTCTGTCGTCTGTGCCAGGTGGTTTACGTCCTCATAACAACAAGTTCAAGTTACATCGACTATTTAGACATAATTACAAAGGCTATCAGAAGCGTCTAATGACACACCTGTTTCCCTTGGAATCTCGAGCCGGAATTGAATTTTCCCCGCCCAATCATCATCATCAGATTGGGTGGAGTTTAATGCAATTGCTAAGATCTACCCTTTCAGAACCAACGACTTGCCTGGCACTAATTGCTGTTGAGAATGTGGCACCTAACTACCTACATGAGCCCCTGCAGTCCATGCGATAGAGGGCCAGCCACAGTGCTGCTAGGGAGGGCGTTCCAGGACTTTGTCCCAAAGAAGGAATAGCGGTATAATTCCATGTCAGGATGGTGAGTGGCCTGGACGGGATCTCGCAGATGGTGGCGTTCCCATGTTTCTGCATTGGTTTAGCCACTGGCTGAGGGATACATAATGGCCAGGACATGGGGGCATAACCCCAAACCCCACCCCCTCCCCTGGCTCTAAGATAGCGCCATGCGATCTTTTATGCCCACCTGTGGTGAAGGATGGGAGTGAAGTTTACGCAGTTTAGTGTCTGATCTGAAGGTCAGTGCCTCTGACAGTGTAGCACTCCTTCAGTACTGATTGCAATGATGATACTTTAAAAGTGCTCAACTGGATGTGAGGTGCTTTGGGACGTCCTAAAGTTGTGAAAGGTGCTAAATAAGGGCAAATCCCTTTGCTATTTGTGGTGAAATGAATACAGAAGTGTATAAGCCTCCAGCTCATGTGCAAACTCTGTGCAGTCTTTACTCATTTATAGGTGAAGGTTCTTTCTTCTTCATGTTTCAGATTCATTTTCCTTTCTCCTTTTCCCCTCAGACTCACCGATCTCCGTACCCATTCAGTGAGAGTTTCTTTCAACCAGATGATGATGACTGGAGGAGAATTCACCACATCCTGGAACCAGCCTTCAGTTCCACTCAGTTGAGGCAGGTTTGTGCTACATCTGCTGTTGTCTAAGGCTCTTTGATAACCACCGCCCTGAGAGAGAGGCAGGGTCACAGTGCACTGCCTGTTATCATTGCTGCCCAGTTGGGCCTTGGTCTAACTGTATGTAATTAAAGTATTGTGTGTGTAAGAGACATCTTTGGTTTTTTTTTGATAAGAGTCAAACTCCAATGTTTGTTGTTTCCTTGATATGCAACTGTACAGAACAGATCCATTTGTGACAATGTATATATACAGATATCTTTTATGAATAAAGTATATTTTTGAAATGAACAAAAAAACAGGAGGTATGCGACAGATAAACATGACTATTTATTGGACATTTACAGGGCAAGGCTTCATGTGGGTTGTTATGTTTTCTGACTTCACTGATCTGCAGACTACATTTTTACTTCACATTAACCTTTTATTGATTCTTCTAAAGCATTTTATAGAGAGAATGAGGAGGGGCAGCAATTTGGAAAGGTCTTTCAAAGAGCCGCAGCAGGCATATGGGCCGAATGGCCTCTGCCTATGCTGTGCCATTTGTACAATACTCTACTTCTGGTTATGGCCAGTCTCACCTCTTATTCCATGAACTTCCCTTGCTTTCCAAAATTTATAGATGTCTCTCTAACTTTCGTTTTGCAGATGCTCCCACCCATGGTCACAAAGGCTGATGATCTTGTGCAACACTTTGGAATTTGCTTTAGGGATGGAAAGCCTGTCATTGTGAGAGAGTGAGTGCAATACTTTCAGTGCTGTGTGCTATCAATCTACATCGTTTGATGCTATTTCTGATTACTACATAACATCGACCATAGCTAGTCAGTTTCTGAGAATTGGATATCTTGATGTTTATTTATAATCGTCACTACTTGCAAAGGTACGATATCACAGATTATCATGACCGTGGATCAAACCCTGAAGTTACGTGGATATTTTTACCTTGTCATTCCAAAATATGTTTTTTAAAAGAGGGCTGATTCAGCCAAGAATAGCTGTGAATGTAAATTAAGTGGCTGACTGGAGAGAAAGAGAGACCCATCGAATTTTGTACCTACAGACGTGAAGGGAATTTCAAACAAAAGTCCTTCAAATTGTGGAACAGGCAAGTCAGAAAAGACTGGACTGTAAGCTCTTATGACTAAAAGGCAGTGTGTGGTTGATAATCTCCTGCTCAACAAAAGGAGATAATGTCCTAAGCTGCAGGCACATTTTGTGTTTTTCCCTTTAGACAACATACAAGTTGAGGGCCTAAAAAAACAGTTTCAGCTCTACTGGAGTATGCTAGTGGGGCTTAACATTCCTGTGTGTACCAACAATATTGGCTTACTGTGAAGGTCACAGTCAGAGAACTAGTCTTTAATAACCCCTGTGTCACAGGTAAAGATGTGTTTTACTCTGACTGTTAGAAATCAGCTAACCAGCAGGCAGACAAGTGGAAGTCTGATAACAAAATTGGCCTTTCTTGTGGTGAATATAACAAGGTCAGCCAGATGGACCTTGTAGAAGATGAGCTCCCTGATTGGGGCTGTTAACCTGGTCCAATCAGGGAGCCCTGGCTGACAGATATAAACAGGAGTGTCAGAGGCTCTGTTCACTCTGAGGGAGCTGGATCAGTGTCAAGGACTCTCCACATGTAAATAAAGGTTGACTTGGCGTCAGGATATTGGCCTCTGTGAAGTTATTTCATGTCTCACTGTGAATGCCGGAATTCAATCATGGTTGAAAGGCATCAGAACTACAGAATCTCAAACAACCTGCAAACCTAGGGATCACGAGACCAGCTATTCAAAAAGCAACATCAATGCTGCCATTAACCTTCACTGCCATGTTCAACTCTCTGGTCTTCATGAGTAATTCAGAGGCCCATCTGTATATTTTTTATTCCTTTATCTTTTTGGTCTCTGCTCTTATTTCTATTCTGTGCTTATGTGTGTGTAGCATTACTGATTCTTATCAGGTTTAGTAATCGATAAATTCACTCTTTGTTAACCAACCCAGATTCCTACACTGGACATGGTAAAGTTGTGTCAGAGATAGTAGGAACTGCAGATGCTGGAGAATCCGAGACAACAAGGTGCAGAGCTGGATGAACAC